CTCTCTCTCTCTCTCTCTCTTTTGCGTGTTCTCACACATACGGTCGGCGGTCGGCCCAACCGGTCGGCGGGGATGCAATCCTGAAGTAAAGGAAAAAGTTGCAGTTTTTTGTTTTATTTTAACTCGTTTAGAGTTTTCCTCACCTGGTCTTCTCCTTGACTCTCTCTCTCTCTCTCTCTCTCTCTCTCTCTCTCTCTCTCTCTCTCTCTCTCTCTCTCTCTCTCTCTCTCTGGTGTTGATCTTGTTTGCATCTACTTAATTTTTTTCGTTAATTCTCTTATCTGGTGAACTTTTGGTGGACACATACAGATCTAGCGGAGTGGGCTCATGTCGTTATCGCTGGGCCTCCCGTTGATAAGTTGGATCGGCGGTCGTGTCTTCGTTTCGCGCTTCCAGAGTTCGAGGTGTCAGGCCCGCGGCCCAGGTGCCCATGCACTGGTGCTTTAACGTGACGCAAATTTTTGGACTTCGGCTAGTGGAGCAAAATGGCTAACGGTGCCGGCCGAAAGAAGGCCCGTGCTGGTTCATTTTTTGTTTTCGTGCAGGGCATTCCCAGGCTTGGCAAGGGAAGGGTTAGAAGTACTCGGTGGTTTAATAGAACGGATCATATGCCCTTGCGATTCTTCTCTGATATGAGCGTTGTGTTGTTGGTGGTCGCTTGTATGCCTTGATCCCCATGTAGGGTCCTTTGGCTACCCTTGTCTGATATGAGCGGTGTGTAGTCGTCGCTGTTTTTTTATTCGTGCGCTGTTTTTGTGTTCTGCAGGGTCCTTTGGTTACCCTTCCTGAGGACGATTCGCATGAGTTCACGGCTTCCAGCCTCGTGTACACGGTGGTAGGGATCGACAGCGTCATCACAGTCGCGGGAAAGGACGGCAAGATCAGGGTGTATGGGATGGCGAATGAAGTGCAACCTGCATGGGATCAAGGCAGGAGTCCGCATGTGGCCATGGACGAGAGCCGCGGCATCACATCCATCGCAATGATTGTGGAAGCGTCGGGTGGCGAAGTCGGTCCCGATCCCGGAAAACATAACGAAGGGCCGAGCGGGGCTGTCAAGCGGCGAGGAGGTGGTGGTGGTTTCAGGAGTTCTGCAGAGACCGATAGAAGTGACGTTGTTGATAATTTAGAGGTCAGCGTTGAAGTTAATGTCCTTCGCTCGACGACTAATGCTGGGCTAGTTCGGTTTGCGATGCTAGACCTGGCCCTTGCGCCAAACTTACTCTCTGTCACACCGATTGCTCTCGTACCGGACCCAATGATCAGCCAGCAAATGTAGGTACTCTACCACCGCAGTGTTTGATACACTCCTGATCAACGTTCCTCCAGTTTTTGTCCAAAATTTTCCGCTCCTTATCCACTTTCCTCGTCCATTCCGCATCCAATTTCCTCCACTCCTTGGGCCTCGAGGCTCCCCCACTCTTCAAATGTGCAAAATGAGAATGAATCTTCTGCTATATTCCCGAATCCTAGCACGCCATTCTCTATGCCCTATTCCCGGCTTCTTATCCAATTTTCTCCAGTCCTCTCTTTTTTTCTTCTTTCCCTTGACTCTCGTATCCACTTCTTCCCACTATTTATCGACTTTTTTCCACTCCTTATCCACCTCTTCCTATACTCTGTATGCACTTTTTTCCACTCCTTTCCACCTCTCTCTCTCTCTCTCTCTCTCTCTCTCTCTCTCTCTCTCCCTCCGCCTGCACGCCTGTACTTGGGTTCAGGTCCATAGACAGAAGTTTAACTTCGAGGGCCGGAGCATGGTAACTGCCCGGACGTCGGGACCGGGTTCCAGATAGTCCGGTGTCCGGTGTCTGGTGTCCGGTCCCCATGTCCGGATGGAGGCCCCTGGGGCAAAAATAAAAATAAAAAAAGGAGCGGCCCAGGACGTTTGTCGGGTCCTAGCCGCCCCTCAAAAAATAACGGAGTGATTTTTAAGTGTCCTTTCACCCCGCCGGACATGGCCTAGAGGTCCAGACACAAGACACTGCAGGTTTTTGAGTTGGCGGGTTTCGCACAGGCCCGAGCAATTTCAAAGCGGCCATTTCGACGTGGCGCCTGCCGCTGCTGCCTGTTGGGGGAGAGAGAGAGAGAGAGAGAGAGAGAGAGAGCACTGACAGTGCTGCCAGTCTGAAGACTCTGACGTTCTGAATTGAACTGCAAAGTTCGAACTTTTAAGTTATATATGAAGTTATGAACTTAAATTACTAAATCCAAAGTTCGAAGTTCAAAGTTAATCATACTTTTTTCAAAAAAAAACTCTGTTTCTTTAGTCTTGTGCCTGCTTTGCACTGTTTGCAACTCTGCATGTCTGCTAGTTAAATGCGCTGGTTGATTTGCTGCAAAACACGTGCTCTGCTGCCTGAACTACTGAGTGCAAAGCAGGTAAGTGCCTGCCAACACCCCCACCCAACCTTCCCCCCACCCCCGTTTTTTTTTT